CCTCTGCTGCTCCCCCGTCCCCCCCCCCCCCCAAATGGAATACAGCTACCCCTGGCATCCATTGCCCACCATAGTGGGATGCAGCTGCACTGGTTGCCCTTCATCCACCTCAGGGAGCGCAGCCACCCTTGGCACCCATCACCCACCAAAGTGGTATGGCCTGGGTGGGGGGCAGGCTGATGCCAAACTCTAACATGCTGCTCACTGTCACCTTCTTGGCCAGGCTCAGCCTCACAGTACGTGCCTACAGTGTGCAATGGTCGCGAGGTGGTGGACTCCACGACGTCATCCTTGTGAAAGATGGGATTGGCTGGTCTGAGGTGCTGCAGCTCCTGCTCTCCTGCCGGCAGCCCCAGCCCCCTTGGGATTTTCCAGCTCAACCAAGAGCTGCAAGGCTGCCCTGCACCTGGGCTTGCTCACCAAGGTGAGGGCACCGCCAGAAGCAGAATCCAGAGAGCAGGACCCTCCCTGGCCTCATGCCCTGCTGCTGAGCCAGCAAGGAGGCTCAGCTCCCAGCCCAGTGTGAGCCTCATGTCCCATGAACTGAGCCAGAGCGCACACCATGCTTCCCTTGTGCTGAGCATGCTTGTGCATGCTTTCCTTGCACCGAGCCACATCACATATCATGCTTCCCTCACACTGAGCCATTCCACGTCATGCTTTCTTGTGCTGAGTCATGATAAGCCACGCTTCCCTTGTGCTGTGCCATGCTATGCGTCATGCTCCTCTCATGCTAAGCCATGTCATACATCACACTTCCATCATGCCGAGCTTTAAGGTGTCACACTTTCCTGACACTGAGACATGTTACATGTCACACTTCCCTTCCATTAAGTCATGTTACACATCATGCTTCCCTTGCACTGAACCATTACTCATTGCGCTTCCCTCACACCGTGCCATGGTACGTGCCATTCTTCCCTTGCGCTGAGCCATGTTACACAGTGTATTCCTCAAGCCGAGCCACGATACACATCACTTCTCCTTTGCACTGAGTTGCGTTACACATCATGCTCACCCTGCAATGAGCCATGTTACATGTTATGCTTCCCCAGGACAGCCGTAGCCCCTGCAGAGGGGCCCACTGCTGCACTACGCATTGGCCCTCAGCAGTTTCACCTTTTCCTTCTCCTTTTTGGCCCTGGGCTGGCAGGGAGCCAAGAGGAGTCCGACAGCCCCAGGGCAGGGCTGCCGCCTGCCTGTACCACTAGCCCCAACTGCCCCTCACGTCCCCTAGCTGAGCACCCATGGCTGCACTGACCCCAGTCACACCTCCCCTTGCCCTGGCAACTTGATAAAGCACAGCCAGGCTGGGCCAGAGTACTTCACCTATGTATCCTCATGGTGTTTTTTTAGTTTTTCTAGAGTATTTCTTGGCACAAGGTGCTCAGGGCTGAGAGGGTAAAAACATGAACGTGAGCAGAAAGCATCATGTCTAACCCTCCATTACAGCCCCTGCTCAGCTAGCTGCAGAGCCCAGGAGTTCTGATTTTTGGCATTTGCCTAGGTTGAGTGATGTGCCAAGTGTATTTGAGCCTAGCCAGGTTTTTAAAAGTAGATTTTTTCTGTGAACAAGATTGTGATTTTTGGGGGTAATTTTATGTAAATAAAGTTTTTTTTCTTTTCCCTTTTTTTTTTCTTTTTTTTTTTTTTTAAATTGACTCGTCCTCTTCTCAGATAAGGATCAAAGTGCATCCCTGGGATCCCTGTCCCAGTAGGGCAGCCACACTAATGACACCAAAAGCAAGTCTATGAACAGCAGAAGCTTTAATGAAACAGCTCCAGTGGTTCTTGAGGACAGGGCTGGGGGACAGTGAGCAAAGGGGCTAGGAGGTGGCTAGGTGGTGCCTGCTCTCTGCTTCAGGGGGATGATGCAGATGCTGTTTTTGGCTTCTTTGATTCTCCACCACCGGCCTAGCCTGTAGATGAGAAAAAGATGGGTTTCACCTGCTGCCTATCCTTGCAGCAAGCTGTACACCCTCACCCCATCCTGGGCAGGGCACTGGATCAAGGTTCCCAGCCCTGAGAGGGAGCTGGGCCCCATGCCCCGACCCAGCTGGGGCTTTGCATCCACAACCCAAGGCAGAGGGGACAGTACCGGTGCTCCTGCCCGAGGCCAGCCACCAGGAAATCACCTGCTGCTGAGAACTTCAGGCTGTTGACAAAGCCGACCTGGAAGGGAGAGGATGGGCACGAAGGCTGAGGATGCACATGAGGGCCAGGTGGCTCCAGCACGGCAGCTTTACTCCTGCAGTCACTCAGCCCTCACCTGTACCCTCCTGGAAAGCCAGGGATTGAGGCAACAGAGCCAAGCTCTCAAGAATCCCCAACCTCCCCCCGACCCCGTCCGTACCAGGGGGATGTCAAAGAGGGGCTCCAGTTTCCGAAATCCTTCGCCGCATTTCCACAGCCTCACGCTGGCACTGTGTGAGCCTGAGGCAGAGGAACAGAACCCCATCCCATACACCCCGATTTTAAGAAGGGAGCAGGGACCTCTGCCCTGCTTCCCCTATCCACCACCCCAAAGCAACAGCAAAAGCAAGGGTCTCACAGCGTGAGGCACCTGTAGCAACAAGGTCACTGTTGTGCAGGGCAGCCACTGCTGAGATCCAGTATGGCTGTTGCAAGCCTTGGGAGCCATGTGTGCCATGAGCGTGCCTCACTAGTGCCAGCGGCTTCTTCTTCATCAGTCCCCACAGGGCGATGGACCTGCCCAGGAGGGAACAGGTGGTGATGAAGGTGCAGAGGGCACTACCATACCCACCCCCAGCATGGCTCCATCCTGGCACTCACCCATCATCTGCACCTGACACCATGTGCTCCTCATTGATGAGCTGTATACAGTCAATAGAGCCCCTAAAGAGAGGGGGTGTTTAGCATTATCAGTGTGCTTTAGGACTCTACTGAGGGAAGGGAAACAAAGTCCCATGCACCCAAGAGCTCAACAGGACACCTGCTGGCTTAACGCATGCACATGCTTCGCCCCCAGCCCAACCGGCCTGCTCACAGTCCACATGAGCCCCGTCATCTGACCCAGACCTACTGGTGCCCATAAAACACGAGCTGTGACTCCTCAGGGATCTTCCAGACCCGCACTGTGCCATCCCGTCCCCCTGATGTCACACAGCACTCCCGGCTCAGGCTGTCCAGCCCTGTGATGATGTCCTGGTGCCCAAATCTGGAGTAGGATATGAAAAGGGCTGCCATGAGTCATAGCTCTCTCTGCTCCTCTGCCACTCTCTGTGTGGAGCTGCTGGTACATCCCACACCAGGAGGGTCCTGGAGCACCTCTGGCCAGCAGGCTAGCCAGATGCTGCACTCAAAGGGTCAGTGGTGTGCTCTCTTCATCTCCTATCACCTGACCAGGGTCTTACAGGGTTTCTATGTATGCATTCTCCGCCACATTCCAGACCTTGACGGAGCGGTCATGGGAAGCACTGTACAGCTGATGTGTACCCTTCTGGAAGGACAGGCCCTGCAGAGGAACAAGAAAGCAGATGGACATGTGCACAGACACAAGTCTCCCCTTCCCTTTCCACCCCATCCCCAGGAATCACCCCAAGGCCAGACGATGCCCCACAAACTGACCACCCTGTTCAGAGGGACCATGCATCCAAGCTACCCCTTTGGGGGCAACAAGAGGTTCAGAGACCTCCACAGGCTCTGGGATTGGGCTAACGAACAGTTACAGCTGGGGGCAGGTGCAGCAAAGCCTATCCCCCCATGGGGACAGAAAGGGAACACCAGTGCAGCCTTGCGTGCCCCCAAATGATTCCTTGAGCCTTCCTTCCCCATTTTCCATGAGCCATAACCAGCCCCTCACGTAAGAGTCACCAGGGAAAGCACAGTTGCATGCAGCTGCCTGACTCCATAGGCATCACAACCAGTGCCCACAGCTCACACCTCCTACTCACCGACACAGCATCACGATGACCAGTAAACTTGTACAGGTGCTTACAGGTGGCTGCCTCCCAGATCATTATCAGTTTGTTCCTGTCTCCGGTTGCCTGGCAAGAAGCAGGGGATGCCTGAAACCTGCCCCCTGGAGACTCACAGCCCTCCCCAGCTGCGGGGCACAGCCAAGGCTCTCATCCCACCTGGTTCCATCCTGGGGACACACCACCATCTCTAGCAGACTTGGGGGCTGTTTTAACCTAACAGGGTAAATCTGCAGCTGCAAAACCACCCTCCAGGGCCCTGGGAAGAGACACACTCCCCACTTCTGGTCACCTTCACCAGAGGCTCCCAAGCATGCAGGAAAGGGGCCAAGCAGCATTGATGATGACGCCTGGCCCCAGCCAACAGCACCAGCCTCCTGCCACCTTACCAGGTACTTGCTGTCCGATGAGATAGCCATGCAGAGGACATGAGCCGTATGCCCCATCTGCTGCTCCTCAGCACCCTTCTTCCCTCCAGGCACCATGCATAACCTCTTCCCACTCTCCACCTCCCCTGTAGGAAAGGCAGCCTTTGTCACATGATGGAAATCCCTGCCAACCCCCCCACAGGTCAAGCTGGCCTCTCAACCACCCCAGAAAGTGGGGATAAACCTTGCGCAACACCCTAGAATACAGCGTCCCTGGACCTGCCAAAGGTCCAGTCCCAGAGCCAGTGGACCCCAAGCTCTGTGGAGAGCTTCCCTTTTCTCCCCTGGATACCAGCACCTCCTGGCACAGCCAGGCAACCTCAGCAAGCCCCTGCAGTCCTACTGCAGCAGGGTCTCCACAGGGTTTAAGTGGGAAAAATGGATAGATTCAACTCCTAAAGAAGGAGGAACCAGACTTGCATTTGATGATGACACCGTCCTTGGCAGCTGAAAAGATGAACTTGTCATCTGGAGAGATGACGAGGCAGGTGATGGGGAGCTGGTGCCCCCGCAACACTCGGATGCTCGCTGGATCTGGAGGCTGCACCTGAATGGAGAGGGTGGGTTGTGAACAGGGCCTCTACCTGGTCCATACCCCAAGTGCTTCCGCAAGCACAAGGGTGCCCGGGCATGTTGTGGCTTCAAAAACGTTGGTATCCCTACACAGCAGAGGGCCCAAAACCAACCTCCCTCCCTTCCTCCAGGGCACGAGTGAAGCACTGCCGATGTCCCCGTGAGCGAGAAGGATACCTGTCCTAGCATTTGGCAGAAGTACAGGATGCTCACACACAAGGACTGTGGCAGAGCAGGGGCCATGCCCCCATCAGCACTGTCTGACCTTAACAGCCGTGTGTCTCTGAAGGTGAATGGTACCATGTGCCCAAAGCTGAAGAGGCTCTCCCAAGCCAGACAGTCCTGCACACTTACATCTTTGGCGCCCAGCCGCTGCAATCGGCCCTTCTGCTCGAGCTGGGGAAGAAGGACAAGGCTCTGTGAGAAGGGTCCCGAGACACCTCTGCTCTCCCAACACGGGGGAAGAGACATTCTGTCCCCGGGGGCTGCTGTGCCAAGGGAGGAGGGAAGGAGTTGGAGGCAGGATGCAAGCTGTCCTCAGCTGAAGGGGTGCATGAGGCCACAGGTCTCCTACTCACCACATCTTCTTTTAGGCGGTCGCCAATGAGATCCTCTGCAAAGGCCTCTTCCTCTGCCTTCTCCTCCTCTGTGCCAGACAGCACGATGTGAGGGCTGGGCTCGCATCTCTGCTCCCCACCAGGCTCAGCGCCTCACCCCGCTGGGCTGGGGGCCTCCCGTTACAGCAGGGAG